CTGTGGACGCGGGCCACGTGGTGGCGAAGGTGCGCGCGGTGGACGCGGACTCTGGGTACAACGCGTGGCTGTCTTACGAGCTGCAGCCGGCGGCGGGTGCTGAGCGCAGCCCGTTCCGCGTGGGGCTGTACACGGGCGAGATCAGCACGACGCGCGCCCTGGACGAGGCGGACGCGCCGCGCCAGCGCCTGCTGGTGCTGGTGAAGGACCACGGCGAGCCGGCGCTGGCGGCCACGGCCACCGTGCTGCTGTCGCTGGCGGACGGCGGCCAGGTGCCGAAGTCCTCGTTACGTGCGTCTTCCGGTGCTGCGGTCGCCGAGACGGCGCTGGTGGACGTGAACGTGTACCTGATCGTGGCGATCTGCGCGGTGTCCAGCCTGCTGGTGCTCACGCTGCTGCTGTACACGGCGCTGCGGTGCTCGGCGCCGCCCAGCGAGGGCGCGTGCGGGCCGGGGAAGCGCGTGCTGCTGTGCTCGAGCGCAGTGGGGAGCTGGTCGTACTCGCAGCAGAGGCGGCAGAGGGTGTGCTCTGGGGAGGGGCCGCCCAAGGCGGACCTCATGGCCTTCAGCCCCAGTCTTCCCCCGGCTCTGGATACGGAAGATGGAGGGGAAAGGCAGGAGGCAGGATCTAATTATCTTGGGCAGGTGAGTTCTATAGATTCCCTCTGTGTTGAAGTCTGAGTTAAAATTTAAAACGATCCAGTTTATGTCATAGAATATTTTAATGATTATGGTGTCTTTTGAGTATTCTTTTAAGGAACAATGTTAGTGAAATGACATATGATACAATTTTGATCATATGAAGAATATGGTTTTTTAGCCAATATGTCTTTTTCTTCTAATGTTTTGTTAGAAAATGCAAGATAGACTTTTCTGTTATCACTTTATTAGAAATATTTCTATCTCACCAATCGCTCAGGGTCCCTTTATCCCTAATCCTCAGTAATGTAGATAATTAATCTCATTCTCCTTGTTTTTTAACGGACTTTTGCTTTGATATTTTCATATTATTAGGTCACTTGACTCTTCTCACTTCAGGCTTGTATCAAAGATACAACACTTTGTTCGAATTGAAATGATTTACCTCTCTTTTTCTGTCATGTTAAACATTCATCATGCATTTATTGTCCAGATAACTTCTAGTTTTTCCTCTACTGATAAGATCAAACTTGCTTTTATATTATTTGCAGTAAAAAGGCAGTCTTGCCTTCTAATATGCTGCTTTCATGGAAATAATATAATTAAAAGCTCTGTTTATTTTTTATTTTGTTCCATGAAATGGGTAGCGATTTATCTACTACGTACATACTCAGTCAGAACTCCCAAATTTATACTTCCAAAGTAAACTAGGCAAATAAAGTTACTTATATTACTCAATCAAGTCACTCAAATTTGCTAAATGCATATGTATAGGCTTATAAAATCTACAGAACATGCTAGTTGGCATTTTCCCTTTTTTTTAGGTTTATTGAGAAAGGAGTAAGTTAACTACTGTATTTTGCCATGTACAGTGCACTCCTGTGCATAACTCACACCCATATTTTTGGCAGATATTTTCAGGAAAAAGCTTTCATTTTATTTTTTAAATTCAATTATTTATTTATATTTGGAAACAAAATTGATTATCATATTCCAGGGTATTATTTTGCATATGGATATTGTTATTGCTTTCTAGAGTTATACCTTTAATGCATAAGCATAAATAAAAGAATTAAAGACATTTATATAGATACAGAATTAGTACTACCCATGTATAACATGCATCCTTATTTTTCCCTCAAAAACTTGGGTGAAAATGTATACATTATACATAGCAAAATATGGTGATAATGTGAAGCCTATTGGCAATGATTGATTTCATTCATTTTGCCTTTTATAGATTTTATTTATTTATTTTTAGAGAGAAGAAGGGAGGAAGAAAGAGAGAGAGAAATGTTGATGTGTGGTAGATTTGTCGTTGGTAGGTTGTCTCTCCTATGCCCCTATCTGGGGGCCTGGATTGACAACCCAGGCATGTGCCCTGACTGGGAATTGAACCAGCGACCTTTCAGTTTGCAGGCCATCACTCAATCCACCGAGCCACACCAGCCAGGGTATTTCATCTTTTAAAGGTCCTATCTTTCAATGCTTTATTTCTAATGTTTATGAAATTATCTTTCCATTTGGCATAATCGCGTCTGAAGGTTCTAGCAAAGATCATTTACCTCTTGGTCATTTTTCTAATTCAGTGATTCTTAGCTACTTGTAGGGTGATCCACTACTGACCTCTTTGGGAATCCAACAAAAGTCATCTGAGGCCATTCTCCCCTTAAAATTGCACAGCATACCATTTGGCATAATATTGAAGGACCCCATGCTGAGGCTCAATCCTGGACTTGTCATGAACCTTTGTATCTCAGTATTAATTGATTAAAAGCATTCTTTATTTCAAACCAGATTAAAATATAAAATATTTCATACTCAAAAATGGTTAAGCCATCATATCTTTTATGAACTGTAAATATAATAAATGTGCATGTTAGGTAGGGCATACAATATTACCCACCTCCAAATGAAGTTCTTGGAATGGCTCAAGGTCATTAAAGTTTAATAAACAAAGATATTAAAATATGTGAAGTAGTTTAAAATTTTACAAATCATTGTATTAACAGTATATAAGTAATGTACATTTTTGATCATTTCAAACTGAACCAATTTTTACAGTGTTTTTATACTTATTCTACATATTTCAGGATTATATTCTTAGTTGTAAGATTATTATTTCAACCTATTTGTTTTCTAGCTCCATTGTTTAGGTAGTAAGCTACACTTAGGTGTTCCTATCTGTTTAATAACTTAATTATGTCTAACAGTGCGTGAGGACTACATGACACACTACCTGTTTTTTTACTCTGTACTCATTTAATAACTCCATGGTTCCCCCTTCCTCAGCCCCTGGAAACCACCATTCTATTTCCTGTCTCTTTGAATTTGACTAGTCTAGGAACCTCATATAAGTTGAATATTATAAAAAGAACGGATACCATAGAGTATTTTTTGGGACTGGTTTATTTTACTTAGAATAATGTCCTCAGGGATCATCCAGGTAGCATGTATAGAATTTTCTTCCTTTTAAAGGGCAAATAAGATTCTATTGTATATATTCCACATTTTATTTGTCTACTCAGTAGGCTGGGAAAACTACAAGCTAATTTCCTACCATGATAGTGGAGCAGGAATTAGCACATGTGTGGAGTCTGAGAAACCTGAAGCTAGGACTTTAATTCAGAATTATCTGAGTTTTTAGGGTAATACAGGAAACAAACTGATTTTGAATACACCCCTTTTTTCAGTACAGTTCTTTAGTATTTATGGTATGTTGACTATTTTTGAAAATGGAAGATAGAAAATGAAGAAGCCTGAGGTGATATTAGACACTTTAATAGTTTGATAGCATCAAATTCAAAGTTAATCAATGTTTTTGATTAATTAAGAGCCAGTTTTATAGTTGACTTATTATCTTATACCATCCTTGATTATTATTTTCTGGTTCCATAAAGATTTTATATCTCAGTTCCCTTTATTATTATTATACATAGAAGGAGTGGTGACAAATTACTGGTTTAAAGATTTTTGAGTTATATTTTAGTGAGTTTATAGAATCTATATTTACTTGTTCACAATTAGCTGTGGGACATAATCAGTTTTATTTTCCCTTAAAGTTTGCCTTGAATTAATAAATAAAATTATGAAAAGTATTTTGATTTTTTCCTTTCATCATAGTCACCAAATCTTCGTAAAAAGATTTTATTTATTTATTTTTAGAGAGGGAGAGGGGAAGGAGAAGGAGGGGGAGAGAAACACATATTGGTTGCTTCTTGAACATGACCATGGACTGGGGACCAAACCCACAACCCAGTCATGTGCCCTGACCAGGAATTGAATCAGTGACTTCTCACTATGCGGGACCATACCCAGCTAACTGAGCCACACAGGTCAGGGTATAAGTCACCTAAGTTTTTTAAGAGAGGAATATTCTGAATAACAAAGTGCCCTGAAGTGGAAAATTTAGAGAAAAACCAAGGGATTATTATGAATTTCATATTCTCTTGACTTCAGTCAATGAGCTTAGGCTCCAAAACATTTCATGAGATCGCCACTACCTCTTTAGAATATTGTGAAATTTGGAGGAATTGACTAACATTTTACATGAAAACCTTTAGAGTAAAACCTTCCAGAATCTGCACCCAAGCCTCATCTTAACATGTGATGGGAATGAGAGCAATTGTATAAAAAGTCATTACATTGAGCATCAAAGAATAAAAAACAATAACATCTTCCGTATTTATGATGAAGTCTAATATTCACCAGGTTTCTGAATAAAATAATTCATATGAATGAATGAAATATCATTTCTATTCCTTTGCTAAATTGGGGAATTCTTTATTTTCCCTCCAAGTCCTACAGTGAAGTGCTTCTGTACAATAAAAGTCATTACAAGTGTGAATTACAAGCAATATAGTGGCAGAATGATGATATTATTCTTTATTCGCCATGATAGCTAAACAGTGGCTTCTGACATACCTATATCAATTATTATTTTATGATAGACTATGAAGCAGTATATTAAAAAAACTGCAGAATGATAGACGTGTATGTGCGTTGTCACTTACAGCATATATTTAAAAATAGGCATTTACAAATGATTCATGAAAATATCCAAAAGTCAAAACAATTTAAAGTGACTGGGAAAGTGGCTAAACCAAAGAGGAACCTCAGGATTTTTCTTGTACATACACAATCAGTCACATGATGTCGCTGTGCACTCAAAAGGTGAAAGGAAAAATTTGTCTCCGAGCCCAGACTTCAGCCATTCACAGAATAAGATCGACTCCACATCAACCGGAATTATGGGTAAAATTAACTAAAAATACTTACAGTAAAGGGAGACAGCTCATAAAGTTTCCTGACGAGCGTTCTCTTAAAACGTACACTCCTACCTCAGAGAACTCCCTATCTGCAATGATGTTTACGTGGCATGGAGACCCAGGATCCCGGCGTCTGCTGCTCTCCCTTCTGCTCCTCGCGGCCTGGAAGACTGGGAGCGGCCAGGTTCACTACTCGGTCCCCGAGGAGGCCAAACACGGCACCTTCGTGGGCCGCATCGCGCAGGACCTGGGGCTGGAGCTGGCCGAGCTGGTGCCGCGCCTGTTCCGGGTGGCGTCCAAAGGCCGCGGGGACCTCCTGGAGGTAAATCTGCAGAATGGCATTTTGTTTGTGAATTCGCGGATCGACCGCGAGGAGCTGTGCGGGCGGAGCGCGGAGTGCAGCATCCACCTGGAGGTGGTGGTGGAGCGGCCGCTGCAGGTTTTCCACGTGGAGGTGGAGGTGAAGGACATTAACGACAACCCGCCAGTGTTTGCAGGAGAACAAAAGGTACTTATTTCTGAATCTGCACCTTTGGACTCTCGTTTTCCTCTAGAGGGCGCTTCTGATGCGGATATCGGGGTAAACTCTCTTCTGACTTACAGGTTAAGTCTAAATGAGTATTTTACTCTTAAAATAATAACGAAAAACGATAAAAGCATATTGCCTGAACTGGTTCTTCGCAAGTCCTTGGACAGAGAGGAAATGCCAGAACTCAGTTTATTGCTGACCGCCTTGGATGGCGGTAAACCGGAGCTAACGAGCTCTGCTCATATACAAATAACTATCCTGGATGTGAATGATAACGCTCCAGTGTTTGATAAGCCCAGCTATGAAGCAGTGCTGTTTGAAAATGTCCCCAACGACACAAGGGTGATTCAGCTAAATGCTTCCGATCTAGACGAAGGACTGAATGGAGAAATTTCCTATGGAATCAGAATGATTTTGCCAGCGAGTGAAAAATGTATGTTTTCAATAAATCCAGAAACAGGTGAAATCAGAATTTTCGGAATACTGGATTTTGAAGAGAATAATGAATATGAAATTCATGTTAATGCCATTGATAAAGGGATTCCGTCCATGGCAAGTCACTGCACGGTCCTGGTGGAAGTTCTAGATCTGAATGACAATACACCCGAGGTAATGGTTACTTCGATGTCACTAACGGTTCGAGAAGATGCTCAAGTCGGCACCGTCATTGCCTTGATCAGCGTGTCTGACCCTGATTCTGGCACCAACGGTCAGGTGACCTGCTCACTAATACCCCACGTTCCCTTCAAGCTGGTGTCCACCTTCAAGAATTACTACTCGCTGGTGCTGGACAGCGCCCTGGACCGCGAGAGCGTGTCGGACTATGCGGTAGTAGTGACGGCGCGGGACGGGGGCACGCCCTCGCTGTCGGCCACCGCCAGCCTGTCCGTGGAGGTGGCCGACGTGAACGACAACGCGCCGACCTTCGCGCAGCCCGAGTACACGGTGTTCGTGAAGGAGAACAACCCGCCCGGCTGCCACATCTTCACGGTGTGGGCGCGGGACGTGGACGCGCAGGAGAACGCGCGGGTGTCCTACTCGCTGGTGGAGCGGCGGGTGGGCGAGCGCGCGCTGTCGAGCTACGTGTCTGTGCACGCGGAGAGCGGCAAGGTGTACGCGCTGCAGCCTCTGGACCACGAGGAGCTGGAGCTGCTGCAGTTCCAGGTGAGCGCGCGCGACGCGGGCGTGCCGCCTCTGGGCAGCAACGTGACGCTGCAGGTGTTCGTGCTGGACCAGAACGACAACGCGCCCGCGCTGCTGCCTTCGTGGGCGGGCGGCGGCGGCGGCAGGGAGAGCGAGGTGGTGGTGTCGCGGTCTGTGGACGCGGGCCACGTGGTGGCGAAGGTGCGCGCGGTGGACGCGGACTCTGGGTACAACGCGTGGCTGTCTTACGAGCTGCAGCCGGCGGCGGGTGCTGAGCGCAGCCCGTTCCGCGTGGGGCTGTACACGGGCGAGATCAGCACGACGCGCGCCCTGGACGAGGCGGACGCGCCGCGCCAGCGCCTGCTGGTGCTGGTGAAGGACCACGGCGAGCCGGCGCTGGCGGCCACGGCCACCGTGCTGCTGTCGCTGGCGGACGGCGGCCAGGTGCCGAAGTCCTCGTTACGTGCGTCTTCCGGTGCTGCGGTCGCCGAGACGGCGCTGGTGGACGTGAACGTGTACCTGATCGTGGCGATCTGCGCGGTGTCCAGCCTGCTGGTGCTCACGCTGCTGCTGTACACGGCGCTGCGGTGCTCGGCGCCGCCCAGCGAGGGCGCGTGCGGGCCGGGGAAGCGCGTGCTGCTGTGCTCGAGCGCGGTGGGGAGCTGGTCGTACTCGCAGCAGAGGCGGCAGAGGGTGTGCTCTGGGGAGGGGCCGCCCAAGGCGGACCTCATGGCCTTCAGCCCCAGTCTGCCACAGCCAGTAAAGGATTGTTTACATCATTCCAGTGAAGTAAGTTATTTTTATATATATATTCATTTCTTTTTAGAACTTTCTGTTAGGGTATAAATACATTCTATTTTCTTTCCCCCCCATGCTATCCTTTAAACTGTCAGTATCTCCTCTTCTGTGGTACGATCATTCTTAGTTACTTGACCTTTCATGTACTTGCCCAAGTTTTTATGTCTTGAAGAATGAGGTTTATAGATGAACTAGAGGCCATTGGTCACCACACTTTAAACATTTCCACTCATAGTTCTATCATTTTTCCTATTATCTATGAATGATTAGCCTTGAAAATATTAGTACACTGCAATAAAACTGTCTAGGTGTTTGATAAGTCAAATTTATTTGTAATTTGAACTTAATTTCATGATTACAGAAAATTTGCAAGATTAATACAAAGAGTTTCCAGTTACCATTAACAGGATTCTTTTACTTTTCTTTTTAAAATGTGCATGGGCTTGTAAAATGGTCTCCTTGATCACCATTCTAATTTCAGAACAATCCTCTTCCACATATTATATTAATAATAAGTCTATGTTATTAATTCTAAGATGAAATATTTTTGTTATTGTTCACACAAAGTACCTTCTTTCAAGTAGAACTGGCTATTATACTGTCTTTATTTACATAAAATATAATAGTCATTTCATATTTATTTATTTTTAAAATACTTTATTTATTTATTTTTAGAGCAGGGAAGGGAGGGAGAAAGAGGAGAGAAACATCAGTGTGTGGTTGCCTCTCCACTCCCCACTGGGCACCCGTCCCCACAGCCCAGGTGTGTGTCCTGACTGGGAATCAAACCAGCAACCCTTTGGTTTGCAGGCTGGCACTCAATCCAGTGAGCCACATCAGCCAGGGCACATATTTAAAATGATATAGTAACCACTGAAATCAGGATGCATCTTATAATTGATGGTTTATAGTAATTTACCTTGCTGTTTTACTTTTTTGGTAGCATGTAAGTAATGGTGCCTTACACTTAATGATATTTTTATCCAACATAATCTAGGAATGCTTATTGATCCCTTATTATTTTCTAGGACCTGTGCTAAGTATTGCATTATATCATTTAATTATCAAATCACCTCATTTATTTATCAAATCAGCCCTGTTGTGCCAGTAGAATGTTTATCATTGTCACTTTACTGATGAGAAACCCAAAGATTAAGCCACATAGAAAAGTAGACATGGCCCAAACCCATTGTGACATATTATTTCTCTGAGACTATTATGAGGTGAATGTCCTAAGTGAATTTTATATGTTGTAATTTTCTTCCGCAAAAATATCCAGAGACTCTGACCAGAGAACAAAGCCTTAAATCCCTCAGCCTGGTAGTGAAGACATCACGCTCTCCTGCCTTTTGCCCACTGCTCTCTCCCATTATTTTTCATTCAGGCCATGGAATATAGCATATGTTCAATCAATACCTTTGAAATTAATATATGAATAGATTAAATAAAGTGCTTGGGTGATTCCCTCCACCATAGAAGCTGGGATGACTCCAGAAATTAGGCAACATTTTACTGAAGAGCGCCTTAGGGATAGCTAACATTTCAGCAGGAAGGTGGCATAGATGCAGAGATAACTGAATAAGGAGCAGTTTGCTCTTTGCCTTGTGAGTGTATACTTGAAGGATTGGAGCAGGGGAGATTTTGAAAGAAGGAAAGCTAATACAGAATATTTTATAATACTTTAGGTATCAAGTAATGAAGACTGAAATTATGACAGTTGAAATGGATTAAGAGAAACATGTGGAAGAGGCATTGGTAAAGTAGAAGCAGCCAGATAATGACTGATTCAATACAACGATAATAAAAGTACAAAAGTAGATGACACTAACTTCTTTAGTTTGGTTACCTGGGAGGATGAGATTGCCTTTACCAAGATGTAGAATAGAGTTGGAGAAACAGTTGGTGTTGTTTGTGAAGCTAGGGAATGTAGAGGAGCATTTAAAAAATATTTCTCTTGAGGTTCTAAGATGATACCATTGTGATTGGAAATACACATCTGGAACTCAGGGGAAATTTGTGAGTCATTCTCTTAGCGCAAAAAAATACGTGCACAAAAAAACCCCCAAAATCACCAAAGAGAGATGGAAAATTGAAAAGTAGCCCTGTCTGGGTAGTTCAGTTGGTTAGAGCATCATCCCAATACACCAAGGTTGTGGATTCGACCCCTGGTCAGGGCACATACTAGAAGCAACAAGTAAATGCATAAATAAGTGGAACAAGAGATCAATTTCTCTCTCCCTCCCTTTCCTTTTTCTATCTAAAATAAATAAATAAATTTTAAAACTTAAAAAGAGAAAAATGAAAAGCTATGTGTTCAAGTAAAGAATTTAGGTGGGTAGGTAGTTCCTGGGGCTGCTATAACAAATTACCAAAAACTGGGTGGCTTAAGACAATGAAAACTTATTTTCTCACAGTTTTGAGGGCCAGAGATTCAAAATCGAAGTGTTGACAGGGCTGTACCACCTCTGGAGCTCAAAGGGAGAACCTGTTATCTCTTACAGTTTCTGATAGATGTCAGAGTTTTCTGGCTAGTGGTCACACCGCTCCAATCTCTGCCTCTGTCGTCACTTTGCCTTCTATTCTCCTCCATATATTTGTTTTAAAAGGATGTGTGTGATTTCATTTTAGGGTCTACCTGTATTATCTAGGATCAGTGCCTCTGTTCAGGATCCTTAACCTAACCAAATTTTGGGGGGCTATATGAAGTAGTATTCACAGATTCCAGGGATTAAAATGTAGGTATATCTTTAGGAGGGTCATCACTGAATCTACTATAGTAGGCTTAAAGTCATAATAAGATGGTTGAACTGAAATAAAACTCAAAGTGCCATATATTAAGTAAGTGTTAGAAGTTGGAGGTAAAGAGGAGATAAAAGAACATTCTTTTTTTCAGAAGTATATATATATATATGTATATGTATTAGTTAAGGACATTTGAGTGATTTTGTAGTGTGAGGGAAAGAATCAAGTAAAGAAGAAGATTCTGAGGATGAGACAGGCAGAAAAAGAATGAAGATTTAAGATTAATCTTAAATACAAAGGAGAATAGAATATAAAATAATTTTAAGAGAGTGTAGGGTTGGGCTTAAAAGTGGGAAATGTTTTCTCCTTAGTAGGGAATGAAAATGGAGACTATAAAGAAAATGTTGATATAAGAAAAGAGCAATTGAGTTCTTACTGATGACTTACCTCTTTGGGTAAATCATCTGAGAAACATGAGAATGAGTTTGGGAATTTGAGATGAGAGGAAAAAGAAGATCAAAGAATCTCTGTAGGCATGAGAGAATAGTTAATTATGCATTCATCTGAGGGCTCTATTGAGGAAAAAGTGAGAGTAAACCTGTGGAGAATGTAGTCATCATGGTCAAGTGACTATCTTATACTGAGAAGCTCATTAGGAAGAATGGAGAAAATGGATAATTAGGCTGTGTTTTGGAGACTAAGGAAAATGTTAGAGGTGTAATAGTGTGAGTAGGTGAGTGTGTGGAAGGGCTTTTTTTAAAAAAAGGATTTTATCTGTTTATTTTTAAACAGAGTGGAAGGGAAGGAGAAAGGAGGAGAGAGAACCATCAATGTGTGGTGGCCTTTCCCACAACCCAGGCATATGCCCTGACTGGGAATCAAACCAGCAACCCTTTGGTTTCCAGGCCAGTGCTCCATCCACTGAGCCACACCAGCCAGGACTGGAAGGGTGTTTTAAATGGTTGACTATGTAGCCTAGGTTAGGTGGAAAGATAAGTGAGACAAAGGCCTGATAAACAAGAACAATGAGAAAGAATCAAGGGATTATTCACATTATAAGAGTGAAGTTATGTTAATATAAGTAATGGAGCAGGAGAGGAAGATGAAGGTAAGAGAACACCAAATACTTTACTGATATTTTCAGAGTAAGCAAAAAAATACAGAAATGAACCCAACTGTTATTTCCTGCGGTGTTGTGTACAGAACAGGTAAGAGTATTACTGGAGTTATTCTATGTCTTTCGTAGCATTATTTGACTCGGAACTTTGGGGCCTGGTAAAGATAGTTATAACAATAGATAAAAGTAAGAGTCCCTTTCCTCTTTCCTTGTGTTTACATCTGCATCAACCTGTTGTAGCTTGGAAAAATCAATCAATTTAAATAGTATTAAGATTTCCCCCAGTGACGGTGTTAAGATGGGGAAAGAAAAAGGGAAGTTTAACCTATTGATGGTAACTTAAATTCCATCAAGCACAAGATTCTTGACATGCTAATTTTTTGCATTTTTTATACAAAGAGAATCCAGAACTTTAAAGCATTGTTATATCTAAATGGTCTAAATTATTGTGTTTATGTGCACACACGGACATATAAACTCCTACACACATTGGACACTTAATTCAAATACAAAATATTTTATCCACATTTCACAGACATATTTGGGGGACTTTATAAACATGATGTACTTATTTAAAATCTGGTATATTGCTCGCCATTATTTTCCATATTCATCCATTTTATTATGTAATTGGTCATGTTTCCATTTGGAGTCAATGGCTGTTGTATGAGCAGATCTCAAAAAATATTACAGGAAAAGGACATTCCTACCCAAACTTCCAAAGCTTCGCAGAAGTAAAGGCCGATTTCCAAAAGCAAATGTACAGTATTCCCCCTCTTAAAATTCTGCATAGAAGTTGTACGCATGCAAAAATACATTTGTGGAAAAAGGAACTCATCAACAAAATTCCAACTAACATCCAATGCTGAGTAGAATGCAGTAATTTACTGTTTCTGGAAGAAAAACATTTAATCCTTAATAACTTATCTGCAGTGAAAAACGTCAGGAAATGCAAGGAAGAAAACCCCCTATATAAATGGATAATATCAAAACAGAATCACTTTACACTTACACATTCATGCGCATGGTGTCGCTCTTCACTGAGAACGTTTCTCCGAAGAAAAAGCCTCTGCTTCTTCCTTCCTGAAGAAAATTTGGCATGGTGTCGAAAATCTCTAGCGAATCCTCGCGCAATAGAAGGCCATAAAATTGGATCTTGAGAGTCCATTTGAGGTATGATACTCTCTAT